TTATAAGCACAAGATGGCCCACACACTTTTGTGGCCCAAATGTATACCTCCGGGTGTTCTAAAACACCTCATGCTGAGAATTAGATTAAAGTGGTCACAGATCCAGGAGTCTCACAAAGGCAAACATAAATATTCTCTACTGTAACTCACTTAGTTGTTTTTCTCATCCGAGGATATTTTTCCATTGCTTTTTAGATAGAGTGGAAGGGAGGGAGGAAGAGAAAAGCATTGATGTGAGAGAGGCACCCAGGCTGGTTGTCTCCCACACAACCCCAACCAGGGCTGGGGATTGAACCTGCAGCCCAGGTACGTGCTATTGACCAGGAATTGAACCCACGACCCTTTGGTCTGTGGGCCAATGTTCTAACCATTGAGCAACTGGCCAGGGCTACTATAACTCACTTCTATTCCAGGCCTCAAAGAATTCTTACAAAAATGTGAGTTCACAAAAATCATGAAACCCTAAAGTAAAAGACATATCATGAGTGACAGCCAGCACTTATCAGACCCTCACAGGTGGAAGTTATGAAAATTGTGAAGCACAGAATACAAATCAGGATATTTAAATATGTTTATAGAAATAACCACACTGAAATTGTGGGCAAAGAGCAAGAACAATAAACACAAAAGTTAAATAACCAAGCACAGAGCGTCAAATAGAATTCCTGGTCATAAAAAACATAAGTGATATTTAAAAACTCAGTGAAAATGGTTAAAATGGTAATAAAAATATGTAGTGGGGTTTAAAATATAGGATTATAATATAGGACAGTAACAAGTTGTATATTATTAAGCCTATATTCCAACAAATTTTTTTAAAAATATTTTTTCTTTATTAATTTTAGAGAGAGAGGAAGGAAGAGGGAGAGAGAGATAGAAACACTAACATTGACTGACCGCCTCCTGCATGTCTCCCACTGGGGATCGGGCCTACAACCTGGGTGTGTGCTCTCACCAAGAATCAAACCAGCGACCTCTTGCTGCTTGGGTCGACGCTCAACCAGTAAGCCACAATGGCTGGGCAATTTTTTTTAGTTTAAATGAAACAGACAAGGCCCTGGACAAATATCTCACTATCTGACTCAAAAGGAATAGGAAATCCAGAGTCTTGTAATCTTTAAGGAAATTGACTAAGTCCAAAATATGTCAATCAATCAATTTCTCCAGGCCCAGCTGGTTCCTCTTGCAGTCTTAAATATTTAAAGAAGAAAATTTTCTAATCTCACACAATTGCTCCTAAGGAACAAAAATGGGCATAACATCCCCAGCTCGTTGTGTGAAGCTGCCACAACCCTGATACCAAACACAATAAGGACAGGAAAAAAAATGAAGGAAGAAAGAAAGTATAAATCACCTCACTGATAAGTGTAGATTTAAAATATTGACACACTAAATTCAATGACATGGTTTTTTTAAAAAGCCCTGGCCAGGTAGCTTAGTTGGTTAGAGCATTGTCCTCATATAACAAGGCTGTGGGTTCAGTACCCAGTCAGGACACATACAAGAATCAACCAATGAATGCATAAATAAGTGAGACAACAAATTGGTGTTTCTCTCTCTCTTTCTAAGATCAATTTTTTAAATTAATTAAAAAAAGACATATCGCCCTGGCCAGTTTGGCTCAGCGGTTAGAGTGTCGGCCTGTGGTCCAGAGAGACCACACCGGGTTCGGTTCTAGCTAAGGGCATGTACCTTGGTTGTGGTTTATCCTCAGCCCTAGTTGGGTCATGCGGGCGGCAGCCACTTGACGTGTCCCTTTCACGTCGATTTTTCTCTCTCTCTCTCTCTTCCTCTCTCTCCCTCCCACTCTATCTGAACAAAAAAAATGGAAAAATGTCCTCAGGTGAGGATAAAACAACAACAACAACAACAAAAAAAACCCAAAAAAGATATATCATGACCAAGTTGGGCTTATACAAATAAGGTTGATTCAACATTACAAAATCAATTAATTTTACCACATTATTAATTATGAATAGGTTAAGAAAAAAATTATATGGCCTTTCAGTAGATGCATACAACTCACATTTTATAAAATTGAAATGCATGCATGATTTTTAAAAAGAGTCTCTTAGCAAAAGAAATAGCTGGAGAGTATCGACCGCAAGTATTATGCGTAACATTGAAACACTGTATTCGTTTCCTGTAAGATTAGATATAAAATAAGTATGCTTACTGTCATCACTTTCATGAAATTACTGATATTTGATATTTTTGGCTTCAAAAATGTCAATATGATAAGGTTCAACATAGTAAAATTTTATAATAATGACTTAAGGGCTCTTTATCATATCTAAAATCTGCAAGAAGGAGACAGAAAGCTATATACCTAAATACTAAGATAGGATAATTAAGGGGCAGAAAAAGATACCAACACCAAGAAATGACATGAATATGTAAAAGTGTTTGTTTGTTTAGCAAATGCTCAGTGTCAGGTGCCAGGCAGTCTCTAAGTGCTGCACAAAGATCAGTGCATTTCATCCTCAGAACAGGCCTATGAGGTGGTACTTTTGTGATCCTCATTTGACAGATAAGGAAACTGAGGCAGAGAGATTCAGTGCTTTGCCTGAGGTCACATAGCAAATAAGTGGCAGGGTCAGAATTTGAACCTACGTAGTCTGACTCCGGAGTCCTTTTCTGAAACATCTACTATGCTAACAGCACAAAGCTACAACTGTGCTGCCAGGACCGGAGAGAAGTAATCTATCCGACAAATGTAATTAAGAAATTGCTTGTTGGTGTGAGCAATTTCCAACTCTCTATTTATTGCTGCATAACACAGCTCCCCAAACCTATCAGCATAAACAACTATTTGTTATGCTCACGAATGTGGTGGGGCAGGGCATTAGGACAGGCACGGCAGATGGCTTATCTCTGCTCCATAATGTCTGGACAGGAAGAATGAATGGCTAGGGACTGAATGTCCTCAAGGCTGGGCTCAGCTGGACCTGTGGACCCAGTAGCCCATGTTACCCTTAAAATAGTTAGGGTTTCTCACACCATGGCAGCTGGAACCAGAGAGGAGAATCCAGAGGGCAAACATTCCCAAAGCATAAGGATGTATTTGCAAAGCTTCTTTTGACCTGGACTCCAAAGTGTGCAGCGTCCATTCCTCCACATTCTGTGCTTAGGACAAGTCACTGGGTCCAGCCTGGATTTAGGGGAGGAGCAAACTATCATTGCAGAGGAGCAGGTACATGGAAGAGAGTGTCGAGGCCACCTTTGGAAACACAGTTGGCCGCAGACTCGGAGATTGTTGGCAGAGCAATCGGTCCTGGATTAGATATTTTCAGCTGCAAGTGTTTGGACAGCCAACTGACGGTGGCTCAAACAATCAGGGGGGGTTATTATCTGATGAAATAAGAAGGCCAGAGGTAGGGCAAATCCAGAGTTATTTCAGTTGCTCAGTGATGTCATCAACGACCCCATAACTTTCTACTCTTCCACCCTTCGTACAACCAAAGTGTCGCAGTCCTGGGTTCTAGGTTGGCTGCAGCAATTCAAAGCATCAGAAGGATACATAACAAGGTCAAATAAAGAAAAAGAAGGGTGTTTCTTCCCTTGAGTCTCTTTCAGCTGGAGAAAACAACCTGCTCCCCAAATGTCACAGCCAAATTACCATCAGGTGCGATTGGTCAGGGACCTGACCTTGCCCCTGCTTATGCTGAAAAGGCAGATAAGAATGAAAGGATCTAGCAGTGAGAAGGGCTTCTGCTAACGAAAAAAAAAAAAAAAGAGGAGAGAGAATGACTGTTGAGTGGCCAGTATCTGTCACAAGTGTAGGCAGCTGCCCATTCATCTTGCGATTCTTAGTTGATTGCTAATTGCGTACCAGGCGCACTGCTAAGAGGCAGGGCGCAGCGGTGAATAAGGCAGGCAACTTCCCCACCCTGATAGGGCTTACCGCCTGGCTCAGAACAGAGACATGTAACAAGTAATTACATAATTAAACACAAATGTGTTAAGTGCTATCCAAAGAAGTATGTAATCAATGAACAATTTGCTGTAAATAAAACATATTTTTTTATGGGAGCATATCGAAATGAAAGAAAAAATTAATAACTAATAAAAGGAGCACAAGGTCTTTACTAAGCCTAAAAAGTAGTCATTGAAAACCATGAATGATTCCCTCACATAGGAGAGTGAAGCGCCAGTCTGGCAGATAAGTGTCCTCGCCATTAGAAAGTTACTCCCCCAAGCGTCAGACCACACACTGGGATTTACTAGGGACCCAATGCACTCACTCTCTTAAGATGATCTGACCTTCTATCCAACTGCATGCTCACCAAGCAAACTGGATTACTTCATCACCTGCCCAGGGACTTTGGATACCAGATTGGCATTCTCCAGTCTCTGGAAAGTTTTATCTGCCACCATAAAGTGATATTTTGTTAAATTTAATGTAAGCATGAACAATCTTATGCCCTCATCAGGGACCTGAAAGTTAGAAAATTGATCTTCAAAGGTAAAAACTGTGGATGACAAAAGGGGTTCTATGGAAAGTAACCTCACAAGGTGATCTGATCACAGATTCCTAACTGGGAAGTTCATGGTGGGTAGTCACGCCCCAGGTTTATAACTTTCTAGTAAAGGGTTTATCTTTGCCTTAAGCAAGGCCTGTCCATTGCTTCTGTGCATCTAGGTTAACACACCTTTGAAGTAAGCTGTAATCACCCTCAAGAGAGCTCAAAGCCTTATTAAGTATCCTGTAAGCCAATCCCCACCTTGCTTTCTCCCATCTCCAGGTAACATTCCTCACATTCCCCCTTAATTTTAAATGCATAAAAGGAGCTGTAAAAATGGTTATTCTGCAGAGCATTTGAGATCTTGCTCCCTGGCATATGTCATCAGTTTTGCTCAAGTAAACTCTTATAAAAATTGTCTACAGGTTTGAACTTTTTAATGTTGATATGACTTAGACTAAGAAGCCATAGCGAGCCTCACTCTGTGCACTTCCAATATATAAAGTCGGTCCTGCCCAGGACGGCACTAAAACCCACCTTGTACATTCCTCGGATAACAGCTATAGCATCCGCCAACTGCTGATTGCAGCATTTCCTTATGTTAACCTCATTCTGCAAACCAAAAATAAGTACAGTGAGCACTATAATATTTTCCCCAAAACAACTCTTAACACCTACCAGGGAGGAGCTCAGTATAAAACCATTCAAATCATCACAGTGTCTTAAGAACTTCATTTTATAATCATTTCTCCTATGCTACAGCAATTACAACACATTCCATTTTTACTTACACTTAACCAAAAGCAATAGTGAGTCCATATGGATAAAATAAATACAGATAATTTGAAGATTTTATTCCACTTTACATATCAAAGTCTTTTTAGTGTCTTCCTAGAACTGCTTTTAAAAGCAGTAAAATCTCCCAGCTATTGTGGCTCAGTGGATTGAGCATCCTGCCATGGACTGAGAGGTTCCCGTTAGATTCCCAGTCAGGGCACATGCCCAGGTTGCCAGCTCGATACCCAGTAGGGGGCGTGCAGGAGGCAGCCAATGGATGTTTCTCTCTCACATCAATGTTTCTATCTCTCTCCCTTACTCTCTCTCTCTAAAAAAATCAATAAAAATGTATTTTCTAAAAACTGAAAAAAATAGAAGTAGTAAAATCTATTCACAATTCATATCCTCTTCTGGTCCTACTTTTTCTGATCCGTGGTCAGATGCGTTATCCACTGTGCTACTGGCCTACCCAGGTGGTCCTTCTACATTTTGAATAAAATATTCCCAGGAAAAGAAATCTAGAGCCACCAATCCATAAACTACTTATTTTCTGATGAATCAAATTATTTGACCATATCTGTTTAGGATAAGAATGAAGAATAGTACATTTAGAAAAATACCCTTGATTCTGATACTAACTCTATTCCAGCATGGAGTGTAAACCACAGTAGGTTTCTAGTTAAACAGAATTGAATTTCAATATCATTGTGCCATTTACTACTATCTGTCTGCCCTTAAGCAGTGACTTGACCTTGGCAGCTCAGTTTCTATTTGTAGATCAGAGATAATAGCATTTCCATTTTAGGATTGTTAAGGAACTTAAAGAGGAAACACATTTAAAAGGCTTAGTATGCCCCTGGCCGGTTTGGCTCAGCGGTTAGAGCGTCGGTCTGCGGTCCCGAGAGACCGGGTTCGGTTCCCGCTAAGGGCATGTACCTCGGTTGCAATTTGTTCCCGGCCCTGGTTGGTCGTGCAGGTGACAGCCACTCGATATGTCCCTTTCACATCGATGTCTCTCTCTCTCTCTCTCTCTCTCTCTCTCTCTTTCCCTCCCTCCCTCCCTCCCACTCTATCTGTACAAAAAATGGAAAAATGTCCTCAGGTGAGGATGAAAAAAGAAAAAAAGAAATAAATAAAAATAAAAGGCTTAATATGGTACTTAGATGGTGTGGTCAACAATAAACAGGAGATGGGATTTTTGTTTTATAACAGAGTACTAAGAGTGATGCTTACTCATAATGGACAGATAAATATGCTAATCTGACCAAAGATTTCAAGAAATTCCTCAAAGCAGCAGAGTCTTTCTTCATACCTTTGGCTCCCAATGAGCCATTAAAGCACAAATAAGATAATACAAAATTGTGGCTAAGATCCAGCTCTGGATCATCAAACTGTCTGGCCTGGGGCCTAAACTCAGCAGTTTCAAACTGGTGATCTTGAGCAAGTTAATCAACTTTTCTGTGCCTCAGTTTCCTCTTCTATAAAAGGGGGATAATAATGGTACCTACTTCATAAGGTTAGTGTGAGGATTAAATTTTTATACCAGGTGCTTAGAAAAGTTCCTGACACAAAATGAAGCTACATGTATTAACTAGCTATACATAGCCCTGTGAAGCCATTATATGGGACACAACATATACAAATTAAGTTGCCCTCAAAAGTTGCTAAGTTCAAAACCATAGTATATACGTATCTAAAGAAGGAAATGAGAAAACTTGTACCTGTTGATAATGTCTTTCTACTGCTAGGATCCTGTCATGTAGAGCAGTAAAGAGACTGTAAGACTCCTCTTTAAGACGGTCTTCAAACTTCAACTGAAGCAATTCTTTCACGAACCCAAAATCTACCTGAAGAGATTTAATAGTCTAAAAATAGAACAACATACATTATTGCAGAGAGTAAGGATCTTCTGTGCTAAGATTTCAACAGCATGCCTGGATCTGGACATTAACCGGGGTACCTGGTCAGGGGGTTGTCTTGCCTTTTAAGATACCTGTCAAATACTGTGTATATTGGGAACTCTAATGAATCTGCTAAAGGAATATAAACTAATGGAATAAGGGAGAAGAGGTTCTTAGCCATTTACTCTCATATAGAATAAAACGCCTGTGCTAACAATGATCCTTTGTCATACCTCAAAGGATAGAATTTTCATGATGTGATTTTTAGATCAGAAAATATGGACAAAATTGACATTTGTTATGAATGCACTAGCCAACCACTAATATAACCAGTGTGTTGATTAATTACCATCTGTGATCATCAAAACACAATGTATTTTCGTTGCCCGCCATCCATTCAAAATGTATTCCTAGGCCATCTGCCCCTGCCCTGAGTGAAAACTTGACACAATTAGGACTTTTTGTTCATTCTTGGAAACAGAAAGTCCTACTGTCACTCAAATCACAGCCTCAAAGTAGCATTTGGAATATGACCACTATTGAAACCAGACAATGAAGGGGTCCGGGCTGCCTGTCACTACTTGAGTCAATTAAGCAGAGACAAGGTGGAATTGTATATGAGCATTGATTCCAACATTGCTGGCAGTATGGGAGAGCAACCAGGTCATTCCCGAAAAATCTGCTCTCCTCTTCCTGCATATCTGGATGCTTATGTTGGGTATTACATGGGGAAGTAGACAAAGGAAATAACAATGGGTATGTAATGCGGGCTGGGGAATGTGGGTTGGGGGCTACGAAGGCTTTTCTCCAGGGCACCACCTCCAAGACTCCAAGGTTGTCAGTCTTTCTATGATGTGGGGGTGGGGTAAAGAATGGACTGCATTCCCAGTGTAAGCTCCCAGGGTGTACAGCTCCCAGCCAGGTCAGAATGGGCTTTCTTTAATCAAAACAAATCAATCATCATTAACAGAACAAGGGTGCTTAACATTTCTTATAACTATGGCTAGTGCCCAAATATGATTAGTTCTCTGTTATTCCATTATCCTGTCCTGCTCCTTTCACTATGAGTTGATATGACCACTTTGAATTCATTCATAGGTAAGAAAGACTTCTCCCTGTACTCCAGGCAGTAGTTGGCAGCTGCCTGTCTTCAAGAAAGAGTATGATTCACTCTTGAGCTCTCTCCTCTCTTACCTCTCCCCCCACACTCTAGCTGCTATGTCTCTAACATGGACAAGGCAGAAGGAATAAAGGAGCATGGCTGGTCCTACCTAGTGGGGTGGCTTCACCCAGGACTGGCAGGTCAAGAGAACTAACTCATCTTCCCCTGAGCACTGACATAGCTTCTCTAGAGATTCTCATTGCTGGGCCCTCTCTTGTGCCAGGATGCTTTCTCCTGTGGATGCAGACTGACCTAAGCAGATGCTTCTCTACTCTGGTGAACATTGTTGCTCCTTTCTCGGGCCCTATGAATCTGGAGTTCTCCTTTTTTCCTGTCCCTGCTATTGGGGTCCTCTGTCCTTCTAGATTGCTCTTCTGGATAAGACCCAGAATGATGCCACTTTAGTTAGCATTCTCTCTCTCTCTCTCTCTCTCTCTCTCTCTCTCTCTCAGACCACATATGGTCCATGGAAAACAATCACACATTCCTCACCTTAATCACTTCTGAAGTGTAGACTGATTCCAACCTAGCCACTCTGTCTTCTTGTCACAGCCCAGTTTAGTTTCCTTACACGTAGATCAAGACCTCTGTGTCTTCCAATAGCAGCTACCATCTCAAGTTCCACAGAGGCTGCCTTCCTAGCTGTCAGTTGAGGAAGATCACTTCTGCTACCCTCTCCCCACAAAGAGCATGGCAAGTGTTTTCTAAAGAAACCACTTCAGCAATTTTTCCTCTTCATTTCCTGATCCCCTTTTTTATTACCTTTGATCTGATTCAAGAGCTAAGCGTCACCGATCTGATGTGCAACACTCCCTTTGCAAATTCTACAAATGGGATCTAACGCACACTCACTTTGGAATTTGATACATGGTGTACCAGCATCCTAGGAAGAATCTCATTTAGTGTTCTCCTACTCTGTGCTGCATTTCTTTTTGCAGGTGAGAACATCAAGGCTTCGAGAGGTTAAGTGACTAGTCCAATACTTTTTGGCTGGTAAGTGGAAGGCTCGGATTTGAACTGACACTGACTCATATTCCTTTCTTTTTACATCATGCTATCAACTTATAAAGGGTACAATGTTGAGGAATCATTAAAAAATATATCCTAGAGCAAGTGAAGCCTTGGGAAACTCCTGCCCTTTCTAGCGTGGCTAAGTTGGTTGGGTATCATCCAATGTACCAAAAGGTTGCTGGCTCGATTCCTTGTCAGAGTACCTGCCCAGGCTGAATCCCTGGTAGGAGGTGTGCAGGAGGCACACCTGATTGATGTTTATCTTTTTCTCTCTTCCTTCCTCTCTCTCTAAAAATAAATTTTAAAATATTTTTTGAAATATATGAATGAATGAATGAATGAATAAATAAATAAATAAATAAAAGAAACTGCTTAATTTGCAGGAACAAGCAGAGATGACTTTGCCTATACGGACTGCTTGTTCTGAAGAAAGGAGGCACAGGGATTCTGGTATAGTCAAACAAACTCCTGCTGGACCACAGACTCCCATAGCTACTATAAACTCTAGATTTAACATGACCAAAACACAACCAACAACTCGAAGACGCTGGAGAATAATGAGGAAGGAAGTGGCGAGGGAGAGGAGAAGGGAGAAGTAAAGTGGTAGATAGAGCATGTGAACTGCACCTTTAAGAAGGTCCCCAAAAGCTGCCATATAACATTTCTATCTAAATTCTACAGATCAGAACTCAGGTATTTGGATATCCCTAGTTTCAAGGGAATAGAGTTATAAAAATTTCCTAAAGTCGTTAAAAAGTCAGCAAATTGGCAAGTATGTAGGAAAAGAGACAGCCTCAGAAGTTATTAGTGGGAGTGTACACAGGTGCAATCTCTATGCAGGGCAATTTGGCAATAGCCTTCAAAATGACTAATGCATACATCCTCTGACTCAGAAACTCCATTTTTAAGAATTTACATCACAGATATACTGGCATATGAGTATGTACAGAATTATCACAGTAAAAAATTTGAAATGACCAAAATGTCCATCAATTGAGGAATAGCTAAATCGATGATGCATTTTGTGATATGATGTACTTGTGAAATAGATGAGGAAACCCAATTACCAAAATGGAATTATTTTCAAGTTCTATTGTTAAGTGAAAAAACAGAAACAAAGCACACAAGAGTATTTATAGTAGTAGTATGTTACCCCATCTTACAGTTTTATTGGTTAGGGATTTTAATAATAACCCTTGATATCTGATAGATATGAAATGTTCTGTTTCTCTACAATTAAAAAGGTCCAAAGGAACCATTTGACAAAACTGTGTGTTGGGTAACACAGTTATTCATTATATTATTCTGTACATCCTCCAATTTTTTAAAAGTATCATATGTAGAAAATGTTCACAGATGTCAAAAGAATTCCAAAGAGAGTAACAAAACACCTTGCTAAACAACATATATAATAAGCACAACATAAATATAAGTAGTGGCTCATATCAACAATTTTTAAGAGCACAACTGTCATCTAATTCAGTTTATAAAATATACTAATATTTAAATTTTTATTTTATTTTTTAATAAATTGTTTATTTATTTATTCATTGATTCTTTTTCTTTATTGTTTTTAGAGAGAGAGGAAGGGAAAGAGAGAGAGATAGAAACATCAATAAGAGAGAACATTGATTGACTGCCTCTGGCATGCCCCCCACTGGGGATTGGGCCCACAACATGGGCATGTGCCCTGATTGGGAATAGAACTGGTGACCTCTTGGTACATGGGTTGATGCTCAATCACTGAGCCACACCGGCTGGGCTAAAATTTTTTAATCATTTGAATTGTGTTAAGGAAACACACAAAGGCAATTAATACTTATAAAAATTATCTCAGGAGTTTCAAATTAATCCAGATTTACCTGTACTAGCTTTTGTGTAGATAAGCTTAATTCTTTTAATGGCAAGATTTCACTGGAATCTGTCTGAGTAGCGTGGTCTGTGCTGAAAAAGCCAACTTTCAAATCATCTGATATGGTAAGTCTGCAAAAGAAAAGGAGGGAGATTAAATGTGCTTTATGTAGTAGATATTTCCTCAAAATATATATATTAGTGAGTATATTTTTGTATAAGTCATATTATGTCTTAAATATTCAAAGGGATTGGTAAAATGAGGAAACCTCTGAATTATCTGCTGATAATTTAAGTTTTACCAGGAGGCTGTTGGATTATCTAATTTTCTGGACTGTGGCATTTTGCTCCACTGATACTCATTTCCATTCTCTGAGATATTGTTGTCATAGTAATTATCTAATTTAGTAATATTAATAAGAAGAGAGCAAAGAGGAGGCCAAGATTTATAAGCATGGTCATCTGAGCAGCTTCATGCTCCCCAGGGAACCAGAAGCCCATTCCTTGCAGATCACTGGGGGAAGGGCTTGAACAAAGGGGCAGACAGGCGCATGCGCTATGAAGTAGTGGTGATGTAGGGAAGGTGCTTGCCCATCAGTCTAGCCTAGGGAAGGATGGGTTGGCTAGAGAGTGGATCCCATCAGAAGTGCACAAAAACTCCTGGTTAAAACCCTCCGACAAAAAGTTCCCCTGTCTTGAGCTGGCTCTCACTCTTGCTTGCTCTGTGACCCACACTCGCACATGCCGTCTATTCTTCCTCCATAGCCAGGTGGCCTCAAGCAGCTGCATGGCCCTGGCCATGCTGACTTCACACACAGGACGCTAGACTGGACTGCATGCTTTTTTTTTTTTTTTTTTCCAATTCTGATTTGGATTGTACTTTCATCTATTGGCATTGGCCTTTATTCTGGCCCTGCTGAAGACAAGTTTGGATTTCTTCGATGGCCGAGACAGACAGAGACGAAACCTTGGAGGGGAACCTCCTTAGTTTTACATCATCAATAAAGCTTTCCATGAATCCCCATTCCCCCCTGGGGGCCTCAGGAAATCCCTTTCCTCATAGCACCCCAAGAACCCCTCCTTCCACTAAGAACAATCTGATCAATTTTTTTGAGAGAGAGTAGAATGAAGAGGAAGAGAGAGAAAGAAACATTGATGCATGAGAGACAAACTCCTATGGGTTGCCTCCTGCTCACATCCCAACAGGGGATTAAACCCAGAACCTGGGCACGTGCCCTGAGCAAGCATCATACCTGTGGCCTTTTGGTGTATGAGCGATGTTCAGCCAACAGAGCCACACTGGCCAGGGCAACAATATGATTGATTTATAAGCCTCCTTTTAATATCTCATCTACTGTTTTATGTTGAAGCCATTATAAATTATGCACAGGCATATCAAGTGAAAATACTTTAAGATAGTGGTTCTCAAAGGGTGGTCTGAGGACTCCTGGGGCTTCAAGGCACTCAGGGAATCCACAAGGTCAAAATAATTTTCATGACAATATTAAGATTTTGTTTGCTTTTTCCACTTTCATTCTCTCACACGTGGTCAGTGGAGTTTTCCAGAGGTCAGAGGTTAGATGATCGCCTGGCAGATTGGATGAGAATTCAGCTGCTTTCCCTGAAACCAGGCATTGAAAAGACTTGCAAAAATGTAAAAAAAAAAAAAAAAAGACACTAGTTTCATTAAAGTTTTGTTTTGAAAAAGAGTCTGTTTTTCTTTAAAATGTGTTACTTATAGTAACACAGAATTGTTTTATCATTATTTTAAACAAATTTTCTCCTTTTAGATGTCTACTATGATAACTATGAATAAAGAGAACATAAACTAAAGCTCTTTGAAGTCCTCAATAATTTTTAAGACCATAAAGAGGTTCTAAAAACAAAAACTTTGGAAACTGCTTCTTTGTGATAATCATGTACTTATATTGCATTTGATTTTTAAACTCAATTCTTGAAAAAATTTGAGCAGGCTAAGACCAAGGATTTGTAAACTTGTATAGACCTTTAATGACGGGCATCTCAGACAGTATCCTGGATGCAACCACTCTTTTTGAGGTTGATCAAACTTACCACAACTGTTGGTTTCTAAAATGTCAGCTAAAATAAGAAAGCCATAAAACCCAAGTAGAATTCCCAGACTTTCCAATGCCAGCTCAAAGATAGAGTGTCTGTGCTTCTGTCCTCCACAGACTATGAGGGAGAGGTTTCCTCTGTGACTCTGGACATGGCCACATGTGGAAAGATGCCAAGGACTGACACAGTCATCTGGTCACCACAAGAGGGTCCAGCCAGAGGGGCAAAGCCAGGGCATAGCTTTTAAAAAGAAGGACATAATTTTGACTGATGACTTTGTTTAGCCATTGACTCAGTGAACTCCAAAACCTGTCTTACCTGTTATTGATGCTGAGGTAGTGGTAGTTATGACAATCATTACTGTGTTTTATTTATTTAAATCTTTTTTAAAAAAATTATTGATTTAGAGAGAGAGAAGGAGGGGTAGAGGGAGAATGAGAGAGAGGGAGGGAGACAGAGAGAAACATCAATTTGTTGTTTCACTTATTTGTGCATTCCTCGTTGATTCTTGTATGTGCCCTGACTGGGGACTGAACCCACAACCTTGGCATATGGGGATGATGCTCTAACCAACTGAGTTACCCAGCCAGGACTCGTTACAATATTTTAAAATATCATAATTTTTTAAATCAGATTTGGAGAAAAGTATTAAAGCATAGTAATATTCAACTAAAAAGGCTACTTAAATTTTAAAAACATTTTTAATATTCAAAATAATAATTTGCAATTAATCTCACTAAATTTTTTTTATTAATTAATTTTTGTTACAGATGTTTCTCCTTCCCCCCCCCACTGATTCCCCCTCCCCCTCCCTCCCTTCCCTTTCCCCAGTTTGTTGTCCATGACCACTGTTCATGCATACATGCATATAAGTTCTGTGGTTTATCTTTCCCCCACCAGCCCCCTTTTTAGGGGATTGTCAGTCTGTACCCCACTTCCAAGTCTCTGGGACTACCCCATTCCTCAGACTGTTATGTTCATTATATTCCACAAATAAGTGAGATCATATGAAACTTGTCTTTCTCTGTTTGGCTTGTTTCACTTAGGATGATACTTTCCAGGTCCCTCCATGTAGTCTCAAAGGATAAGAGATCTTTCTTTATTACAGCTGCGTAGTACTCCATTGTGTATATGTACCACTGCTTTTTTATCCACTCGTCTACTGATGGACACTTGGGCTGTTTCCAGATCTTAGCTATTGTAAATAGTGCTGCTACAAACATGGGGTACATATATTCTTTCTGATTGGTGTTTCAGACTTCTTAGATACCCTAAGATATTCCTAGAAGTGGGATCACTGGGTAAAATGGAAGTTCAATTTTTAATTTTCTCAGGTAACACCATATTGTTTTCCATAGTGGCTGCACCAGTCTGCATTCCCACCAGCAGTGCACTAGAGTCCCCTTTTCACCACACCCTCACCAACACTTGTTGTTTGATGATTTGTTGATGGCAGCCATTCTGACAGGTGTGAGGTGATACCTCATTGTTGTTTTAATTTGCATCTCTCTGATGATTAGTGATGATGAGCATTTCTTCATACGTTTCTTAGCCATTTGTATGTCCTGTTTGGAGAGGTGTCTATTTAGTTCCTCTGCCCATTTTTTTTTTTTTATCCTCACCCGAGGACATTTTTTTTGTTTGTTCAGGTAGAGTGGAAGGGAGAAAGAGAGAGAGAGAAACATCGATGCGAAAGGGACACATCGAGTGGCTGCCACCTGCATGACCGACCAGGGCCGGGGACAAACTGCAACCAAGGTACATGCCCTTAGCGGGAACTGAACCCGGGTCTCTCGGGACCGCAGGCTGATGCTCTAACCGCTGAGCCAAACCGGCCAGGGCCCTCTGCCCATTTTTGAATTGGATTCTTTGTCTTCCTTTTGTGGAGTTGTATGAGCACTCTATATGTATTGGAAATTAACCCCTTATCTGATATATCATTGGCAATTATGCTCTCCCATACAGTGGGTAGCCTTTCCGTTTTGATTATTGTATCTTTCCCTGTGCATAAGCTTTTGAGTTTGATGTAGTCCCATGTGTTCATTTTCTCCTTTGTTTCTATTGCCTTAGGTGATGTGTCAATAAAAATTCTGCTGCGTATGATGTCTGAAATTTTGTTGCCTACAGTCTCTTCTAGGATTTTTATGGATTCATGAGTCACATTTAAGTCTTTTATCCATTTTGAGTTTATTCTTGTGTAGGGTGTAAGTTGATGGTCTAGTTTCATTTTTCTGCAAGTAGCTGTCCAATTTTCCCAGCACCATTTATTAAAGAGGCTGTCCTTACTCCACTGTATGCTCTTGCCACCTTTGTCAAATATTAATTGAGCATATTGCCTTGGGTCCATTTCTGGGTTCTCTATTCTGTTCCACTGGTCTATATGCCTGTTCTTGTGCCAGTACCAGGCTGTTTTGATTACAGTGGCTTTGTAGTATAACCTGCAATCTGGTATCGTGATCCTTCCAACTTTGTTCTTCCTTTTCAAGATTGTTGTGGCTATTCAAGGCCTTTTTTTGGTTCCTTATGAACTTTTGAAATAATTGTTCTAATTCTGTGAAGTATGCCGTTGGTATTTTGATGGGGATTGCGTTGAATCTATAGATTGCTTTAGGTAATATGGACATTTTAATGATGCTAATTCTCCCAATCCATGAAAAGGGTATGTACTTCCATGTTTTTATATCTTCCTCTATTTCTTTTTTCAATGACCTGTAGTTTTCTTCAAATCGGTCCTTTATTTCTTTGGTTAAGTTTATTCCTAGGTATCTTAATTTTTTTGCCGCAATGGTAAATGGGATTGTTTTCTTAGTTTCTTTTTCTGTGAGTTCATCCTTGGTGTATAAGAATGCCATCGATTTCTTGACGTTAATTTTGTATCCTGCTAGTTTGACAAATTCATTTATTAAGTCTCGTAAACTTTTGATGGAGTCTTTGGGGTTTTCTATGTACAGTATCATGTCATCTGCAAATAATGACAATTTCACTTCCTCCTTTCCAATTTGGATCCCTTTTATTTTTTCTTCCTGTCTGATTGCTGTGGCTAAGACTTCCACTAC